TGCAAAATTAGGAAAAATAGAAATTGATAGAACTTTTTGCCAAATATGCTTTCCAAGCATAGGCAAATTAGGTGATATCGCGTTAAATTTATTCTATTCTTTTTTTTTAAAATAAGATAAAGGATAAATATAGGTTTCATAGAGATAGGTGAAAAATTAAGAAAAATAGAAATTAATAGAACTTTTTGATAGAATTTTTTTCTTTTATATATATTTATTCTATTCTTTTCTTTTAAAATAGGTAAAGGATAAATATAGGTTTCACAGAGATAGGTGCAAAATTAGGAAAAATAGAAATTGATAGAACTTTTTGCCAAATATGCTTTCCAAGCATATGCAAATTAGATGATAACGCGTTAAATGTCGAAAATTAGAATCGATGGGTCTTCCCAAGTTTGATCAAAATCTACCTTTTCTTCTTGGGTTTAGAATCTATTCTTAGCTTCTCTATTATAGTTCTAAGGTGTGTTAGAGGATAGATAGTGAAAAGTAAAGACAGCAGATATAGATACCTATTATTAGCTATTAATAATAGGAGAGTATTTTTACAACAAGCTTTTATTTTTGTTGTATGTTTTTTTTTCTTAAAGTTAAAAAAAAAAGTTATATGACACGATTCTCGAGTTCAGGCAGATCATCGACGAGTCCTCTTGAATGTTTCCTTAAAAATAATTATTTTTTTTTTCTTCGTGAACATCTTCACCACTTTCGAAACTCGAAAAATTTGATCTTGTATCCAACTCCAAATTCAAATTGTGTAAAAATAACGTACATTTAAAACACAAACGTATTTTAGAGATGAGAAAAAATTTACAATTTCCTCGAATTTTAGGAATTTAAACAAACGAATTGTTACTTTTTGATTAATTCAATCGAATTGGAAATTGATAGAACTTTCTGGCAAATATGTTTTCCAAGCAGAAAAATAAAATTCGTCAAAAATTTCTTTAAATCACGTTTCTGTAAGTTTACAGAAGAAAAATGTACATTGAACTTCGTACATAATTCTCTTTCCTTTTTATCTTTCGCTCCTTTTTTCTTTTTCGTTCGTACTCGTCCGTAGATTTCGTCCACACTCGAATTCAAATTTTCCCGCGTTTTCAGGTACAACGTGATCTTCATGGTGTTGACGTACATTTTACCAATTGGATCGATGACATTCACGTACGCAAGAATCGGTTTGGAATTATGGGGCTCGCAAAGCATCGGCGAAAATACTGCGGGCCAATTGGAGGGTATAAGGAGCAAACGAAGGGTGCGTAATAAATAATAATAGATCGAAATATTTCTCTCGTAATAATAAATAAATTTCAACATTGACTATATATGATATACTATAGTAAGTAAGATCGAAATATTTCTTTCGTAATAATAAATAAATTTCAATATTGATGATATACTATAGTAAATAATATATAATAAATTATAATATTAAGTTATATAATATAATAATAATATATAATATATATAAAGTAATATAATATATAGTATTATAATATTTAATATACTATATTATATTATAAAGTAATATAATATAATAGTATTATAATATTAAGTAATAATATGTGATAAATATATGATATTTATATTAAGTAATATATGATATATTATACTATAGTATAATATATATATTATATGATATACTATACTATAGTATAATATTTAATATATTATATCATATAATAATATATATTATATTAATCTACTATAATAAATCAAGTCGAGTGAAATGCTTTCATCGGTTTGTGAAACAGATTGCGGATGAAACGATGAACTTTTCTTTTTTCTTACGAAACAGCGAAACTATATAACCAATCTCGATTAATCGATTTTAATTAATTTTATTCACACTCTTGTGCGCCTCTTGATCAACATGATAAACGATCGTGAAAACGTAAACATACGAAAATACAAAAATAGATGACTCGATTTAAAGATATTACATTACGAATGTAATATCGATCGAATTATATTATATTATATTTTAAAAAATCGACGACGAGTATTCGAAGAGTGTAAAAAAAAAGAAAAAGAAAAACAGAGAAGAATCCACTCGAATCCAGTTGAAGTTTTTGCACGACCATTATTTTCGACTACATGAGCATTCACCCGTTATCGGGCAACAAAATTGGCTTTCATTTATTCCCCAACGCAACGGTTGTTTCGTTATTAATCCCACGTTTCGTTATTAAACCGCGATATGATTTCATGCACTTGTTTACAACATGTTTTCTGTTGTAATTGCAACTCGAGGTTGCACGAAAAGGTAATAATATAAGACCTGGATCCGAGTAATAAATCGGTTAAAATACTTTCTTTCTTTCTTTTTTTTTTCGACCAATTTTTGACGCACGATGCACGATCGATCTGGAAAACGAGCCGATAAAATTGCAAACTTTTAATCGAACGTGCACGTAAAAATAATCCAATTCTTCCATATGTAACATGATTACACATTCTCTGTGTATTGGATGGAAACAATATATTTCATCGTTTCAAAATTTCCTATTATTTAACAGCTATACATTCTCGATAGCCTATTTTCTTCGAAAGAAATTCCCTTATTTTGATTGAATCTTTTCAATTTCTAAAATTTCAAATCGTATCCTCTTTATTTGATATCACGTCGTACAATCTTTATATTTGATCGTGTCACATTTTAATTTAAATGAAACCTTATATATCTTTTATTTATATTTATAATTAATGTCCTTTGCGATTGATATTTAAACGATTAGTTAGAAATGTATATAAATACTTTATAAAAGTATTTATAATAAAAATATGAAATATATCATGTTCAATTCGCAGAATTAATTAAGAAGAGATTAATAGTACATTGGACTTAGAAAGAAAGATAAAAATAATGAAAGAGTGATAGATTAGCATATTCGTAACGAGAGACGCCATCTTGAAAATGGATAAAGCGTTTGCAGACACACGTTTCTTTTCTTACTTTTGCTTACTTATATTGTTGCATTTCGATCGTTTAATCCACGATAAAATTCACGATAAATTCCTCGAACACATTTAACGAAATTCAATTACGATGCATGTAAAATAGTAGCATCTTGGAGACTGATAATAGTGCTTCTATTTAAAACCGTAAATCCAATTCATCGAGACCGTTTTATTGCACCATTTTAGAGAGAATATTCTTCCTTCGAAGAGGATCGAATGGAGAATTATCCTTCAGAAATCTTCAAACATTTTTTTTTTTTTTTTTCTTTTTTAGAATTATATCGACTCAATTAGAGATCTGTTTGATTCGACATTTTTTCAAAAATTGAGACTCTCTATCTCGTGATTTTCGTCCGAACGAAAATTGAAAAATTTTTCGATAATTAAGAGAGAGTTTTACGTTACTCTATGATAGTTGGCTCGTATGCCAAGTAACCTACATACAAGCCATTAACTACTATAAAATACAATTTATAGAATGGTATATCGCTATAAATTAATTCTGGAAAGCACCCATAGAATATTTGGCTCGATCCAGTAATTGTAATATTTCGATCTCTTGGATATAATTTTGCGAAACAAATTTTTCATGATGTTTTCGAAAATAATTAAGATTAAAAAATCGAATCGTTTTATTTCAATTTTCTTCCACATCTATCCACGCATTTCATCCTTTCAAAATTTCCAATTCTCTGCAAAATAGAAGGAGAGAAGGAGAGTATTATTTCCCCTATATTGGTCGTTTGCCAAACGAGAAAAAGGTAAAATCAACTGACGATTTTTCGATTCTTTCCAATTTTCCTTGGACGTCATTCGAACGAAAATAAT